TTTTTTAATAAATGTATAAAAATGGAAAGGGAAAACCTAAAGACCCAAAAGTTGTAGAATGAGTTGAATTAAATTAAAGTAATTTTTTTTAATCGGTTATTAAAGCATAGGTAAATAGTCAGTATATAAAAACTAGGTTAGGAAGAACATCCTTAAAAACATTTGTCATCCAGGTTAATAAACGAATTTTCCTTACTCAAACTAATAACGTTTTTATTTTTGCTATAGATGGTGCAAATGGCCTTTTTTGGACTTCAAAAATCACAGGAGCTGAAATCACAACATGATTTTACAACGTGCCAGCTTGGTATAACCTCTTCGGGCTTCTTCTCAATACAACGTTCGCCATCTATGAAGCCTTGATGACTATCCTTTTCAACCACGGGCCTCTGCCATTTTCGATTCAGCTTCTACAGAGAAAATCTTAGATGAGAACACTGAAGAAAGCATTAATGGCGTTACAAAATTAAGGTATGAAATACCACCCCTTGAAGCAAGTCACTTGTGAACTCTGTATGCACTTCATCTAGTAGTTTTGGTTAGACACCATGGATGGTTCCAAGGTGGAGGTTTGACGGAAGTGCTGCATTGACTTGGGCACTTCCAAGCTTTCGGGCAAAACTCTTTTGATCTAAACCCCAAGGCTTTTGAGATCTTTCTTTGTTGGGTCCTGTGAGACTTTGGATTTGGAGTCAACTAGTTTCGTCTTTTACGATGGCTGACTGAAAAGTTTGTAACAGTTCGAGTCAACGCTTCCTGGTCTTGGGCTGGGACACCTAAAAAATAGTTAATACTATAGAAGCATCCCTAGTCTTGGTTGTGGACAAGATTGACCGGGATGCTTTTACAATATAACTGGTTTTTAGGGATTAGATTCGGAAAGGGAAAGGTCGAGATGATAATGATAGCTACCCATCGCCGCCACGTGGAGCAATGAAGACCGCCCGCCAGCTGACTCGTGGGTATCGCACAGCGGCGGCTGCAGCCGTGGATGGGGAGGGCAGAGGAGAAGGAAGCCGGCGGTGGGCGGAGCGCCGTCGCTGGTGGGCGGCGCCGCCGGTGGCGCTCTCCTCTGCGTGCCCCTTCCACTGCTGCGGCCGCCTCAGAGAGCTCCGTCCGCCACCTCTCCCCCTCCCGCACTGCCCTCTTCTCCCCTTTTGAGCTGCTGCCGCCATGAACTTCCAGTACAACAGAATGTACTCCGGCGAAGGTACGTCTGTACGATCGACTCTTTCTCTCTCTCTCTCTCTCCCTCGCTCGTTCTTTCTCTTTACAGATTTCCCAAGAGCCCAGGAGCGCCGTTCTGACGTACACTTGTACTGCATAGTTGTTACAGGAGGGGGGGCTACAAGCCTTTCAAGTCCGGGATCCGACTCTGTTAGGGCCTACAGCGGGTTGGGCTAACTGGTTCGTCCAGGTCATGATGGACATAACATAAACCCATCTCATTCTGGAACATTTTAACTGTAAAAAATAAGTGGCCAAGTATGAAATTTATCTTGCTTTGCTTCTTACTCACATGATGAATCCGTATAATTTTTCTCCTTTCAGAATTAGAATATCTAATACAAGTTTTGTGCTCCTCACCTGACCTAGAGGATTTTCCATTTTAACACCCATGTCTAATTTGAGAGGAGATAATAACTGGCTTGACTTTACACAATTTCTCGACATGTAGAATCCTAGCTACTTTACAGATCCACCAGTTGGGCAAGTACCCACCATGTCTTTAACACTTTCCATGACAGCATATCAATGGAATTATCTAGTCGTCACTTGATCTTAGTTATATGTTTCAACTTGATAATATTTTAGGTTAAATAATATTTTATTTTACTCTAATTAAGCAAAGGCTTCCACTCTATAATCATTATTATCCTTGCAAACTTAATTACTATCTCAGCACCTTAATATAGTGATAGTTGTCGTGTGATCCTACCAAACCTACCAGTTTTTGCACTCTTGTGCAGCATAAACCATGTCTTAGCCGATGTCAAGTAACCTCAACGTAGTGTAGAAACACTTTAGGATAGAAAGAGATGTGTGAACCTCGCTCTTTTAGTACAATATACTTAAGGAATGTTAGTTTAACATTTTTAATTTTGAAAAATAATCAGAAAAATGGAAAAGAATTCTTCTTTCAGACACATTATTTTCTCCAAGATTCAGATAAGGTCTAAATCATTAGATCTAATGAATTCATTGTTGGATTACATTTTTTATGGACTATTCCCTAAAAAGAACCATCAATGAAGATACATGTTGGAAGGGAGACAAATTAGGAAGAAATGTGTCAATTCAGCAAAAACAGGCAAGAGAAAATGTGTCGACCGAAACATAGTATTTTCACCTAATCAGAATGAAGGCAAGAGAAGGGTCTACCCAAGTAGTGGACAAAGTGTCTATAGATAAAGTTGAAACGAATCTTAGGCAAGAGAAAAAGGAGATTTCCTCCACAATGCTTGACACATCAGACATGTCAAAAGATTTGACATGAGCTAGAAGATAATTGAAGAAGTATCATGTATTCTGTCGAAGAAAATGGAGAAAATGTCATACTAACATGTTTGTAGAGGGACCTGATTAAAAGCTAGTCAAATTGATGACATGGCATGAATATGTTGACTATTCAATGGGTTAGGTGTTGACCTCAAAATATTTGACTGACCAAATTTCAAATATTTAAATTGCAATAGTAATGATTTGGGCTCCATAACAATCAATGATGATAGTTTTTAAAGAATTGCCTTAATTCTTCCACTCATTCTGAAATCTATCTTCAAAATTATATTGCATGAGTAACATTTTTTTACTTCTAATTGGCAGCATGATATCAAGGGGGCGGGAAGGCTGAGTTGATATTCTTCTGCTTTTTAATGTTTCTATTTTCAGAAAAAAATATTTTTAGGATTAACCGCCATCACATTCACATAACAATTTTATGGCGGTTTGGTACTCTTGACGTACATCTACTATCCTAAGACTCTGCCTTTTGGTTCTATTAAATCGTTAGTGGGAACGCATTCAATTCCAGGCTCAACAACCTGCAGGAGTTCACAATTCTAGTTGATTTGCGATTCTTCAAATCATCTTCTAAATTCTACTATTTTATGTGGCCAAAACAAGAAGGTTCACACCTCTGTTCCAGATTTCACAGATCTAAGAGGTCAAACCTATGAAGTTCTATAGTTCTCTGTTCTTAGATTTCATATTCTATGGAAACCTTGTCTCCCAAAATTTAATGTAATGAGATGTAAGGGGATTACTAAATTATGAATATTTATTTTGATGGGTGATCACGATCTTTGAGGTGTGGACGACCTACTTCTTCTTTTTCTTCGCGTTTTTATTCTTCACATATTTTTTTTCACTTTGTTGAGAGGATCAGTAGCAGTGGGGTAGATGATCTCTTTCTTCTTCTCGTTCTCGTTCTCTTTCTCCTTTCTCTTCCCTCTCGCTCTCTTCTTCTTCCCTTGAGATCGAAGGTGAGAAAGGCGGAGGTAAGAATGAAGAACAGGGTTAAATGACAGCCAGCGAATTCAACTCAGTGTTGTACATTTCGTTCCACATTTTCAGCTCAAGGACGAAGCCACAAAATCCCTGCGTATTAAAATCGATTAGTCAATTTAGGGACAGGATCATTTGGAAGTCATGATCTCACATGACGACGAATTCTTTGAGGGCCTCAGATTTTTCACATGTTAGATGTTGAATCAACAGTTCGGCAGCTGAAAGCATAAAGCGTAGATTGAATTACTCCAGGTAAGCTATAAAATCGAGATGATTTGCGTAGTCGAGATGCTGCCATTAAATTATTTGTTCGACATTAAGGAGATGTCCACGATCTCTTTCATGTCATGCGCAAATGCGGATAATTCCTTTACTGGAGGATGTGCCTAGGGTCTGCGGCTGGAGAATTGTTGAGAAACTGAGTGGAATGAGTGAAGTCTTGAAAAATATGCAAAAGGTGATACATATGCAGTTAGAATTATGGAACTTTTAAAAAAATATCTACGAACGTCTTTTATATAAATGCACTGTAAGAGACGGATAGCGAGAGAGAGAGAGAGAGAGAGAGAGAGAGAGAGAGAGAGAGACAGACAGACAGACAGGGAGACACAGAGCGAGGGAAGAGAAAAGGAGAGAGAGAGAGAGAGAGAGGGAGACAGACAGACAGACAGGGAGACAGAGACAGAGAGAGGGAAGAGGAAAGGAGAGAGAGAGGGAGAGAGAGAGAGAGGAAGATGGACCAGCTGCCGTGTATGGTGGGTCAGGTGATACGGATGCCAGAGCTTTCAGTTCTGAGCCTGGGGCGTCTAAGTGGGATAATAGCACGGCCTTACCTTTTTTCATAGTTTAATCGACCTGTTAAATCCTTTCGATGAGAAAAGTCCGACAAGAAAGAAGGAAACTTAGCTTTGTCGTTGTGTCCAATCATCTTGCAGAAAAAAGTTCGAAGTTCAAAACGAAGCCAAACACCAATGTTCTAGTAACCCCGACAGTTCATACTTCCTAAATTGACACGTTTGATCGCTGTGATGGGTTTCACCGAAATGAATGCTTGATCGTCTATACTAAGGTTCTACCGTTCAGTAAATTTCAGTCGGCAAACTTCAGGGTATTATGACCGGAAATCACATTCTTCAAACTTTTATAGATTCAATCAATAATGGGCAGTTACCACCACCCATTCTAGTTAGTGTGTCCCCCGTCGTATGTTTTCCCACACAGGTTGGAGATGTGTTTTCTCGCGAAGTCAAGCCGCCATGTAGAAGATGTCACGCTCTTTAATAGGGTCGGGTATGACCTCGTACAGTCGTACCGAATCGAACACCCATTAATGCACGCAATCAAAGGTTTTAGTTAGCAAACCTTCAACACTCTACCGGAGCTGACCACTGAAACAAAGATATCACCCAGATTTTACTTATTCACCTGACGACTCACTTCGCAAGTAACAACCCATTTATCAGATACAGCAGCAAGAAGAACCTAGCCGACTACGCGATGAGATTAAAGGCCGCGAGATCCAGGAACCTCTTCCCAGGCTTCTGGTACACAACGGCCAAGTAGAGGTCTTCCGCACCGCTGTCAACTTCGGCACCAATCACCAGCCGGTAGTTCGCCCCCTTCCACACCGGCTGTTGCTGCCCACCGAGGACGCGAGTCAAAACCAGACTGTCACCAGAGTCTTTATTGTGCCGCCGCACGGCAAACTCGGCGAGATCCCGGATCGGGGAATCCTCGGGATCCACGATAGGCTCGTACTTAACCCGGGACCTCGGGTTGCCGGAGGCCGCCGCGCCGCCGTTTGGGAGGATTAGAAGGAACGCCACTAGCAGGGGAAGGAGGAGGGCATTTTGAGAGTGAGTTCCCATGGTAACTCTTTTCCTCTCTTTTCACGTGCGTAGAGAAAGGCAGACGATGTTGTGAGGAGGAGATGGAGAAGCTATTCTGTATATAATGGGGGAGAGTCAACAAACCGGCCGAGGCTGGGAACCGTGTACAACAACAGGAGGGGGCGCACAATGTTTTTGACCGAGTGATGTGTTACTGTACACGTAACCTAGGCAAAACCAATAATGATATTAAATGCTTCATCCGCTGACGGATACTCTCCCCGCTGAGTGCTCGTTCTGGAATCTTTAAATCAACCTGGTATTGGAGACTCGACTCTTAAACTGAAAAACTGGTCTTTCTGGTACAGGCGCCGAAGTCGGCAGGCTGGGACCTGGCATTTACAAAAATATAGCAGTCAGAAAATATTCATAGAATATTGAGAAATATTGTCGACGAGGGTTTTTTGTACCGGATGAAAAGTGTTTTGGGATTTTCTTCTACTTAACTACTTTTTAAAAACCGAATCGATTTATCTCAATAAATCTATATCATCAGTTCAAATTAAATTAGAAGAAGTGAGTTTCAAAGTTTCGTTATTTAAATCACAGTCAACATTCGGTCTGAATAAAATCCGTTTGGTAGAGCACCGTTTAAACTATTTGACTCACAGCTTCAAATTAATATACATTTTACGGTCACCACATTCTTTATATGGCATGTAGAATTGCGATAATAAATTCCCCTGAGCTCGGTCCTATGATAACTGTATTCCCAGGAGAAAGCTTTTCCCCCTGATAACTCATTCACGGCGCTGCTTACCCATACTCATATAATGTCGATGTTGTACATGACAGAATAGCGAAAATGAACGTTCGTCAACATTTACATGTCCCAGCCGGACGTCATTTTCCTTTCATTTTTTTGCCTTCTGCTGAAGATAGCTTCCCGACCTATGAACCAGCAAAGTAGAGGCTTAGGACATCATGGCTAGGATAACAGTGTTGTCTTCCCTCACCTGGGTTTTCATACCCTAGCCTTGGTCATGACCTCGTCAACTACTTTCGAATATAAGCATTCTTCTAAGCGGCTTCGTTAAAATGGTCCGTTCCTAACTGTCTTCATTCAGAGAGGTGCTTAAAAATGTGTTTGTTTGCATCCTAGTATTCCTTCAATGTCGCGAGTGAAAAGTGAGAAACGGAGAGCAGGTCGGACGAAGGAAGCCATATCGCGTAAACGATTTAAAGAAGCCCCCGGTTCTGCCCTGTGGGACGCGGTAACACGGCCATAGATCGTCCGACCCAGTCAATGAGTTTACCTGACCGAACAAACTTCAGCCGTTCCGTCATAGTATATTTTTGTTCCTTATCCGGAATCGGATTATTAAAACATGAAGCCCAATTAAGAAATTCCTTAAAATTTCATTTCCAGAACTATCACGCGGTGTTGAAACCGTTGGCTTGTCCAAGTCCAGGTGATATTAGTTTTGGCGAAGTCATTGCTACGCGTTCACACAATCTCGTTAACCTGACGAATACTGAACAGATCCAGGATGATACGCGGAGGTGAAACTCCTCGCGCAGGTGCCGCCACTTTTGCCGCACTCCTGCGCCGAGCTTGAGACTAGTTAACTAAAATCTTTGTGCGCTGAGTTTCCCTGCTAACGGAAACGAATGGAACCGGTGGGAGCAGGGGGAACTACCGACCGGTCATCGATGCGACGGGGGACAAGGATGTGGAGGACATTTACGTTCGCGTAGTGAAGCCCAGCAAGGGAGTCAGGGAACTCACAGCGTTTGAACTGATCGTGTAATCGTCTTAATCAACGGAGTCTGGGGCCTAGGCTAGGAAGATGGATTTGGCTCGAGGGCACCAAACCCCGCTCGAGCCTGGTTCTCCAGGTTGTCCCTAGGCTGTACTCGTGCAACGAATTCCCAAACCAGGTGCGTTACAGATCAGGACTTCCACTGGGTAAGTATCTCGTTATTGACAAAGCTTTCCGTGTTCCTGGTGGGGAAGATTGGATGGACAGAGAGTAAGTGCTGCAGAAGAAGTAAATCCTGGTGGGGAATGCTTATCCATGTCAACCTTTTCCGTGGTGAAAATTAGAAAAAACAGTCTAACCGGTATCTCCTTGGACGTCTAATGTGATCTAAAGGACTCAAGGCTTAGTGTAATGGCAAAGGTGGGTCGGTCTCCTTGGAAACATTTGCAGTGCCCACAGTAATGGTGTGAGGTGTGCGACACACATGCTGGTCGGTGTGAGCGGAGGCTTAGGAACGAATAGTCCTAACGCTAGTTGGGTCTCCATGGGGCTCGACTTATTACGTGGTCGACAACGTTGGTTGGGAACTTTCTGGTTCCCACGTCCCTGATGACTCTTAAAATCAGGCATGTTACAATCTCGGCACCTGGAATCGGGCGACGAAAATGAGGCGTCCGCGACAGAAGCTCTGGGGGAATTGATATCCTTTAGAAAGATATTGGTCGAGGCATCGGTTATCTTTCGCCGCAAAATCCAATCTCGGAGTCACCATAATCTGTCTCCATCAGTGCGTCAATTTTTCCCTTCTGGTGCTGCCGACCACTATCACGCCTGTTGCCCATGGGAGTACAGACAGTCTCTTGATTTCGTTCCACGGGAAAAAGATGTAAATAATGGACGGTCGGTCTGAGCGGAGGCTTAGGAAGGGACAGATCGAACGCCTGTAGGGTTTCCAATAGGCTTGAGTAATCACCGAGGTCGACCTTATTGGCCGGGGATTTTCTGGTTCTTATGTCCCTGATGTCTCCTTAAATCAAGCATGCTACAGTTTCTGTACCTGGAATCGGCCGACGTAAATTCGCGTCTACGTCAGGCTTCCCTGACATAACCTCCAGTGGAACTAATATCTACTAGAAAGATATTGGTCGAGGCCTGACTTAACTTTTGGCGCCAAATCCAATTCCACTGTCAACATAATCAGCCCCTATCAACGCGACAATTTTCCCTTCTGCGCGTTACCGACCACCCTCTCGCCTGCTGCCAATGGAGTACTGATAGCACTTGCCTTGGCAGCTGTCTGATCTAATGCCGTGGCAGCCAACAACTTTGTACTGATAAAGTTGTACTGATCTCAACAACTTTCCGCAATAACTCTTCACTATCTCCGGATTACTGCCAAGCCGTTGATTGTTTGAGGGGAAGCTCGCTTGTCCTTACCTTCTTCAAAGGCATAATCCTTGCGGTATGCAGTTAAATTAGCTGTTGAAATTACACTCATAATACTGTGACTAAACTGCCGAGAATGCTTTTCTCTTAAACTGCGATGTCAGGTACATGTGGTGTGTTTTCAGGAATGAGCATCATATGATCCTTGTGGTATGCAGCTATAAAAACGGAAATGCATGTGATTAAACTGCTAATAAGCATCATATCGTAAAACGGAAAAGACAAAGTCTGAGAAATACGTTAGAAAACAACCCTTCTTCCTTGGCATAATCCTTGCGGTATGCAGTTAATTTAGCAGTTGAAATTACACTCATAATATTGTGATTAAACTGCCGAGAATGCTTTCTATTAAACTGCGATGTCAGGTACCTGTGGTGTGTTTTCAGGAATAAGCATCATATGATCTTCTCTCAACGTTATTTATTAATTGTGATAGTGAAATGAACATTGATGGCCTATGAACTGGTTTCGTAATGATACAACATCTGTACAATACTTAAGTAGTACAAGACTGTTCACAAAGGTTAAAAGTGCAATCACACTCTCATGGCATATTAGAAAACACACGCGGAGGTTTCTTGACTTGGTTCGTATGCTTCGGATCAGCAGATGGAAGACGAGGGTTGTGTGACTTGGCGGAAATAAAGGAATTATGAAAGATCTGGTCGCTGCATCGCGGTTAAGAAAATTTAAGTTTTACAAAAGACCCCCGCTTGGAACCAACTGTAGTAAAGAGAATCAACCATGCCGTTGATGACAAGACAGGGGTCATGCCGCAACGTCCTGTTCGTCCTCCAGGAAAGCGTCTGATGGCGGGTGTCACCGACCCCGCTGACCCACGCGAGGGAAAGTGATGCGGGCGGTTTCCCTAACCGCCTGGTGGCGAGTGTCACCTACCCCGCTGACCCGCTCATGTGAAAGGGTGATGCCGGCAGTTTTGATGTATCCAAATCCCATTGGGTTAATAGTAAAATATTATTCTGCTACTACTTTTTCTTCTTTTCATTTCTATCTCTTGGCCTACTGTTGAATCTCTTGAGGCTAAAGGGGCCGTATTGACGGCTCTCTTGTGGATGGATAAAGGTGGTCTACATCATCTCTTAGGTATTCTCTTCTTGTTATTGGTGTTACTCTGATATCTTCTGCATATATATAAGTCTAGATTTACCTCCCCACCTAACTTCACTCGAAAGATTGTTGTAAATCTCTCAAATCAGGTAAAAATAAATTTATAGGTTAGTCACCTGAGATAAATTCATGAAAGATTATTTTCGTGGATATCTTCAGGCTGAACATAGGAATTAGGAGTCTAATGAGTTTTAAATCAATTTTTCTCTATTTAATTCAACAACGAAGGAAGATGAGAAGATTGAGAATATATCATTTTAAATGCTTAGAAAGAGGAAAAAAAATAATACAATCAAGATGTTTGACTCTGAATCTCATGATGGATATAGAGAGAAGATAAAATCATTTAAATCTTAAGAGCTAAGTATTCTATAAATTCCTAAAATTTAATCATTCTATAAACATACAAAATACCTTACTCAAGATGTAAAAGAAAGATGGGCGAGGTTAGGAGCTTCCCATTTGAAGTTGGGGACCAACAGTTGATGACTGAGCCTCCTAACGTAAGATCCACCCTTTGAATACAATTCTAGGTAAGAAAGCAATGCAAAATACTAACCTTTTATTCAAAAACTCAAAGTGTAGAGTACATTTTAGACCCTTCTCCTCTATCATAATACAAAGTCACTGAGAAAACTTCCTTTCTCACAAGAGTGACAGAACAACTATATATATTAAAAAGTTCCCTTGCCTCAACTTGCCTTTAGATGATCTAGATTGCAAGGTCTGGTCTCAACAATAGTCAACCATCCAATCTTCATGAAACATCAGTGGCCACGATTTCCTATTTTAATCTAAATAATTTTCCAATTTTCATTACCCATATTGACCACCCAATGATTGTGTTATATTGTGACTGTTGGATCCAGATATCATTCATTTAAGTTGGCAACTATTGAGAGTCTTTGGCAACCATCCATTCTAGCATAATTAAGTTACCTTCATCGGATTGTTGCACCAAGATCCATCACTACGCCTATCAAAAATTGCCTTCAAATCTTCCTTTGCCACTCTCGATCATCGAATCTTCCTAAAATAATAAAATAATAGAAAAATCATCAATAATATATTTAACATAAAACTAGGTGATTTCCAACAAGAAAAATTCTGAGAAAATTATTGAAAAATTAGAAAAATCAGATAATGCTTCTTAAACTAAAATTTTGAGCTTGATAACATGCCATATTCTTTGAAAGCCTGTTAAAAATGTGTATAAATAATATCATTGATAATATAAGATAACATGCTATCAACCTCCCATACAAGTGATATCAAAGTCAAGTTCTGTATGTTTGGAGTTATCATGACTCATAAAATGTTGTCTTCTATTGCATCTCATTTTGATACTAAAAAGATTGATGATTTGACCAACTACAACCTATGGTAGCAGAAGGTGAATGATCTATTGATCAAGAAGGATGTATATGAGGCATTAAAAGGTAGCAAGTACAACAACATCAAAGATGATGATTGGAAAAAGATGAAAATGAAAGCCACTGATATTATTCACCAATGCTTGTCAGTGTTATGTATCATGCCTTCAAAATGTAAGATCCTATTGACATATGATAGAAGTTGATAAAATAGTATACGGGGAAGATGGTGATGAGCAAAGTTTTTTTGAAGTCAAAGCTATTTGGTCTGCAAATAATAGAAGGTACTAAATTATTTGCTCATATTGATCATTTTCATCACCTTTGTGTTGAGTTGTAGAGATTTGAAGACTTATTAGAAGAGAATAAGATGATTATCTTGTTAATTTCTTTGCCCTCAATATACAAAAACATTGTGACTAATTTGTTACATGGGACTCAAATGGTAAGCCTCACTAAGAGGATTAGTACCTTGATAAAGTTTCATTAGAGGCAGTCTATAACTTATTTGTGAAAGAAGGGGAAGAAAGAGACATGTCAAAGGAAAAAGGTAAGACAAGAGAGAAAAAGAACTGATCAAAATCACAAATAATTTAGTTAAAAACCAAACCTACCATAAGTGCTATGAGAAGACACACTTGCAAAGAAATTGTCTAAAGGATCATAGTGGCAAGGCAACAAAAGTTAAGTTTAGTTTGGCTAAAATTGCAAAGGTTGAGGACAGTGATGGTGGAAAAGTTTATTATGTCCTAGTTGCAGTTGAGGAATTGATGAACACAAATTCTTGACTTTGATTGCTCTTATCATATGTGTCAATGCACTAACTAATTTGAATCCTACAGGAGCAAGATTGGAGTTATTTTCATAGGGAATAATGCTCCTTGCAAGACAGTGGGCATTAATTTGGTGAAGGTTTGGATGTTCGATGGGGTGTTTTGGGAGCTTGGAAATATATGCTATGTATTAGTATTGAGTTATAATTTGATCTCACTTGGAATTTTGGCTGTAAATAATTATTGCTTTGAAATTGTTAATGAGATCCTCATGGTTAGTAAGGGATACTCGTTGTAATGAAAGAGAGTCATCTATGAATAAATATTT